CCCTACACGGTGCAATGAGTGTAAAACATATTGCAGTGAAACCATTGTTGCTCCCTTAACGTCTCAATCCGAAGGACCCGTAGAACCACATGCATCTTGGTCTCATCTGGTGGCAGTTAGTACTCCTAACCTTTTTATTCAGTTGCTACCCCGTAGCTAACTTCATCCACCGCCCCTTGCTCGGAGAAAGTCACAACTCAACTCATCGGACAACTAGAGAATGATGTATACAAAACCATGATACCTGAAGCATTTCCCGGTTGGGAGTGTAGTGGACGTGCTACTATTTTCAGGCTTCTTTTCTGGCTTTGTCCTACTCAAACCAGTCTGTTCCACTTCCTGAGAAGTACTTTTTTTGTCTCTCCACTTTCAGTGCTAAAGTCTGCACATCCCGCAGTGTCTAATAGAGTTGCAGTTGGACCATATTACTGACGGTGGACTTCAAGCCTCCCAAAAACCTGGCTATAGTGTGCTCCTTTGTCTCCTTCGGCTCACACCTTAATTTAAGATGCATGAATTTTGTCTTGTACTCCATTGATAGCTTCTTTTGTTACAAGTAGTGGAGTTTCAAAAAAATATCCAGATGGTAGTACGGGGGTAGGTATTGTCGTTGTATTTCCCGTTTCACCTTCTCCCAAGAAAAAAGTGCCACATCTTATCTTTGTTTCTCCCTCTTCAGATTCTCCCACCATAAAGATGCATTCTTCATCTTGATGGCAGGAGCTTCACTCTTCTGTCATCGAGCACCTTAATGTATTCAAAGATTTGCTCAACAGTTTGCATCCACTGGAGGAAGTCATCTGGATCCATTATCCCCTCAAAGTCCTATAGGTCCACTTTCATTTCCAAGTCATTGTATCCTCCAATAGGCAAGACATCTTTATATCTTCCAACTGTCAATCCATCTCTGTATCATTCAATAGGCACCTCATCTATGCATCTTCTAAAAGGCACTTCAACTCCATATCTCCATTGATATTGTAATCCAAAACGTTGTGTCTTGTCTTCTTCTCCACTCGAATCATCCCTACAGAAGGGATTCAGGTGTTCTACGTACTCTCCACAACTTTCACTATTATGTTCGACGATGATTCTACCCTGGGTTCATTTCTGAATGGCATCGAACTGATATAGCACTTGGCGAAGGTAGGTGTAGGGCTGTGAGTCAAGTCAACTCGTGGGCCGACTCGAGCTAGGCTTGATTAATGGCTTGTGAACTAAGCTCGATAAGCTAACAAGTTAAGCTCAAGCTAGTTCCTACTTGACACGTTAGCTCGATTCGACTCGATTAAAAAAATATTAAAAAAAAAAATATACTAAAAATATATTAAAATTGAAGATTTTATCTTCAAAGTATTAAAATATATTTTGTATTTTATAATAAGTGATTTCTTATTATTTCTTTCCTAATTGCTCATTATATGTCATTTTATTATAGCACTACTTTAAATTAATATTATTTTCACTTTTATACTAAATAAGTCGGCTCATGAGCAGGCTCGAACTCGCAGACTTAAGCTTGAGCTCAAAGTTGAACTTTATAAAATTAATCAAGCTCAAGTCGGGGGTGGTTTGAGCTCGAACTCAACACGTTTGCACCCCTAGGTAGGTGGAAGGTGTGTAGGGCGGGGCTAAGAAAAATTATTATTATTATTATTATTATTATTATTATTATTATTATTATTATTTATTTTAGGTGGGGGGAGGGGGGCTAAAATTATGATAACTCTGGTGCTAAATGATACCGGAGTTAAGCTGAACCACAATTGGCAAAGTAAATGTTATTACTAAAAAAATAGACAGGACCAAACATACTTGGAAAGAAAGTTGCAACAACACAGGACAAGAATTCACACTAGGGCTCGATCCGAGGAAGATGGAGATCGACTAGGTGGTTGGGAGGTGGTGGTAGAAGGTTGAAATGGGTTGTGGGCAGGGCAGTGAAATTACCTTGAAGATCATTAAACACTCGAAAATTGATTCAAATTTTGGCTCGTATCGAGATTGGATCGAAATAAACAAGCCGAGCTACAAACCAAAATTTTAGAACGAATTTTTTTCGAGCCGACCCAGCTCTAATACTAAATGATATCAGAGTTAACGCGAACCGCAATTGGAAATGTAAATGTTATTTCTAAAAACAAATAGACGATTATGATCAAACATACTTGGAAGGAAAATTACAACAAAACAAGACACAAATTCAAACTAGGGCTCAATTCGAGGAAAGAGGAGGTCGACTAGGTGGTCGGGGAGTGGTGGTAGGAGGATGAAATGGGTTGTGGGTAGGGCTCTGAATTTACCTTGCAGATCATTAATCACTCAAAAATTAATTCAAACTTTGGCTCAAATTGAGATCAGATCGAAATAAACGAGCTGAGCTACGAGCTAAAACTTTAGATCGAATTTTTTTCAAGCTCACCCCAACTCAAATAAAAATCGGATCGTTAACAACCCTAGTGATGTTAGGGTTGGGAATTTAGCCAATTTAGCTTGAAGATCTTAATCACTCGAAAATATATTTGAATTTTGGCTCGGTTCGAAATCGGATTGAACTAAATGAATCGATCTATGAGCCAGAAATTTTTATTGAATTTTTTTTAGCCAATTTTGAGCCAACCCCAGCTCAACTCGAAATCAGATCTTTAACAGCTCTAAGTGTGGGTTGTTGGAATAGCAAAAGGTGGGGTTGAAATTGCGTTGTCGGTGACACTGAGGGCCTGGAACAACAGCAACAGCCAAGGGGAGGGCTAGGACATTGAGGGGCAACAAAGGGAAAGGGTTGTGGACGGCAGGACAACAAGAGGAGTGCAGTCCAATGGGTGTGGCAGCTAGGGGAATTGCTGGCATTAATGAAATAGGTTGTTGTGTGACGCGATTGTAGGAAAAAGACAGCAAGGTTTTTGTCCGGGGCGGCAACACCAAGTACGGAGGGCCGGACAACGGTCGAAAAAGCGAGGCGAGGGAGGAAACATGGGTGGTGGTGAAGGAGGAGAGCTGGGACTGCGAGGGCATCAAAGAGAAGAGAGAGAAGGCAATGGCGACGGCTGGAAAGGCTGCGAAGGAGTTGGGTAACAATAAATATCCCTTCGGGAACAAGTCACAGCCAGAGCACTACTCAATCTCAAGAAAAGAGATTACCACCTCAAACGGGTTACAGCCAGAGCACATGCTTGCCTTGGAATACAACACTCGAAAGGGAAAACTAGGACGTCAACAACTGTTTTGATAGAAAACACCATAAAAACCGACTTTCAAACCCCAATACAATACATATACAGGAAAGATTTAAAAATAAATGAAAGATAATCTGAAAGAGAGCATAAGAAAGGAAAACGAGACTGTTTTGGCTGCCCATCTCCTGTCTCACACAATATTGATTTTGTGGTACTGTAACAGCTACACTACTAGGCAAGCTCCTGTGTCAGAGAAAGTGGGGTAGACCAGAAAGACATGGGTTGGGATACAATGAAGAAGTGAAAGAGTTGCATTTATATATGAATTTCACTGTGAATTATCATAGAATAGTAATTTCATAAACTAACAGAAACTACACGTGCAAGAAAATTAATACGGCAAAACATCTCAAATATACTAAAGCTAAGCTTTTTAATTTTGTGTGATATTTGCCAATTAATTTCACATAATTTTGCAATTGCTTGCTATGGTACAGCCTAATATATAATCAGAATTTTAGTTGAGAATATAACCCAGCTATTGAAAGAAAAAGCCTTCAAACCTAAAGAATGAAACAGCTAGAAAACCATTACACACAGAAAGATCGATTGTAATGCATTGAGTACTACAAAGTAAAATTATGAGACGAGTCGTAGCAATGAAACCAGTTAAATAAAGAGTTTGGGAAAATGAACACTTTAGTATGTTATTCAAAGCGTCAAAGTGCAGAAAGTTATAATTAGACTGTTCATTCAATCACTCAAAAAGAAAAAGAAAAAAAAAAGGAGAAACTGAACTCAAACAATGTACCTTGCAAATCAATCCTGGGTATATATTTATCACTTCCTAATTCAAGGGACACAACTTCATATCTATTGTCTTCAACTAACCACCTCAGTAATGAAATATGCTGATCAGTATTCTTTCTATTAGACGTGATTGCAACATCCCTGAGAAAAAATAAATAATTAGCTGTAAGAATGTACAATAAATTAATAATAATAATAAAAGCATCTAATCTATAACAAAATAACAAAAATCGCTTCAGAGATTTTAGTAATTAAAAAAAAAAATCAGAAGAAGCAACACCAACAACAAGCCTTTATCCCACTAAGGGTCAATTTGGCACGGCTGTGGGAGAGCGGCGAGGCAAGCTGCTGCTGTTTTCATCCGTTTGGCGCAGCAAAGGGGGAGCTTCAAGTGAGCCGCGGTCGGATTTCAACAAAAAGCGGGCCGTTGGTTATACCCCGCGGCCAGCATTTCGCATATGCATTTTACCCTGCTGCCCCGATCTCTGCCCTTCCCTTCGCTTCTTCGGCCCACATGGCTAGGGCTCTCCTCGCCGCTCCTTTGGCTGTCTGAGAGCAAAGAGCAGAGAAATCACCGGAGGCCATGGCGACGCCGAAGCGGCTTGCATTGCTGGGATTCTTCGTCTTGGTTAGTCAGAGGCTTGATGTGGTTGGGATGCCATATATATGACGGAGAAAGGTTCATTGTGCTTTCATTTTATAGGGCTTCGATTTTGATGTATAAGTGTTTCAGATATGCTAATTCCAGATTCAGATTTTTCTATTCTTTGCTAGTTACGAAGTAGATGGTCTGTTTGTAGTCTCCGGGTTTTTCTTCTTCAATCGATGGCAATTTTTTTTTAATTTTCATTCTTGGAAATTTTGAGAAAATGTAGGAATGCTGAGATTTTGTGGTATCCTTCGTCCAAGCAGAGGAAGCACAGCAAATCGGAAGGCTGTTTCAACAGCTTTTTCTTTGCTGCAAAATTGAAATCGCTGGCCTTTGTTATTTGTTAAATCAAATTTTCTTCGGTTCTTTTTTTTCTTATGTTCTTATTTTCTAATAAATTATTGTTGAATTATAATGAATAAATTTTCATAAATTATTCACTCATAAACATATTAATTTGAAGAATTCTCATTTAGTTCTTTGGTCTTTCTTTAACCTACAGTTAATTTGCTTTCATGTTTGTGTTTGCAATCAAAATTCTGACAATGTACATAACCCGAAAGACTGTCAGGACTGCGATAAGAAAAAGGTTTCAAGTGTTTCCTATTAATCTTTCTGAACATATTAGTTAGGTTCCGTTGAAGTTGTTTCTTTTGAGTTTTTTTTGTCCCACTTCCATATATTGGGTTTTGAATTCATACTTGTAAATATTAAATATAGAAACATGCATGCACACATTGTTTTAATCCCACCATACTCTCCAAAACTTGCAATAAGAAAGCATAAATGATACTCATTATGTATAGATACTCATAATATGTACATATTTTAGCATGCACCTGTCAGCTCGTATACTAGTAAGCTCCATCATGTGTAGTAGATAAGGGATATGGATGATGAATGGAATGTTTTTGAGATGATGAGAATCGGTCGGTTGGTAAAAGCGGGGAAGCTTCTATAGAAGTTCTCTAATGAAAAGGATAAAGATTTGGGGAGGCTTCTGCAGAAATTATTACCAGCACCCTCTATTTATAAATATGTTTTTTGCATTTAAAGGAAAGAAAAATGAAGGAATTCAATCAAAATTCAAAAAAAAATAAATAAATTTGGACCTTTTATAAAAAATCTCTGTTATGAAATGAATTTCAGCTTCTGAAGTTTCAAAAATGTGATTCTTTCAGTCTTCTTTTAAACAGTTTTACCAAACAGAGTCAACATGGTCATTTTACCAAAAACAGCTGGCCCGCAGCTGTTTTCACATAGCTGCACCAAACAGACAGTTAGCTTCCCCGCAGCAACTTTCTGGGGCATTGCAGCTGCAGCTGAAAAGCTGAGAAACTGTAGCTGCCCCAAATAGAGCCTAAGTGGGGTAGGCTAGATGAATCCTTTTTCTCCATTATGTCATATTGAATCCTTTTTCTCCATTATGTCATATTGAATGTCATATTTTCATTTAATTCTATTGAATCCTTTTTCTCCATTATGTCATATTGAATGTCATATTTTCATTTAATTCTAATAGATTAAGATCATTAGGTCTACCTCTGTCTTTCCAAAAAAAAAAAATCAAAAAAAGCAAAGAAAAAAATGAAGAACAATCATCACACATAATTCCTTGGTGTCTAATGAACATGCAACGCAAAAATATGGGACTCAAAATGACGCGACTCATAGGCAATAATAGATGTTTAATCAAAAAGGAATTCAATGTGTTTCATCCAATAGAGAGGCCATTATGTATAATAAAACAACAAACATCACATCTCGAAGGACATGCAACTAAAAAGTGTCCACTTAACATAAAAAGAAATTTTTCCTGAGCAAAAGCTAAGGCTAATTAATGCACAACTGTATGATCAAGTTATGAATAAGAGCACAGCATCGAAATAGGAAAAGCGCCATGATTATAATCATCATCAATAACACAAATCTCAATACAACTTCGCAAATATCTGCCCCATTCATGAAGAAATTATGTAATAGTTAGTTTCAATGCCACTTCATTTTCCGCACAAGCCATAAACATTCTTGTTCCTCCAATTAGCTTCAAGCTAGTCGTATAGTTCAAAAAATTAAAGTAGATCCAAAGTTTCAGTAAATATACATGCCAGTTTTGAGCTGGATATCTATTATAGAATATCATCTGGAATGAAATGACAGTAAACATCAATGTGTTTGTTTAGTTCACTAAGATCATGATTAGTAGCAATATGAATGTTATCATGATTGTTGCAGTCTAAGACCATGGTTTTGTGGTTGAAAAATCAAATTTCTCTAGGAGGAACTTCACCCGCAGTATTATACACGTAGAATATGTCATGGCTTTATATTCTACCTCAACACTTGATCTAGCTGTCATTATTTATTTCTTACTCTTCCAATGACCAAATTGCATTATCTTCTACCTCCAACAAATATGCAATATCTAAATATAAACTTTCTAATTCAATCATCAACAGAACCAACCAAACATAAAAATAAGGCTTCCACATTGAGATGTCCTTTCATGGTGTAATAGTGCTTTTCCGGGGATTTTTTTTGATACACCTTAGAAGTTAGAATACACATGGCAATTCCGCAATATTTTCATTTAAGAATTTACGTAGGCTGATTATTGACTTCTACAAGAAATGAGATATCATGTATAGTGTTAGTAAGATGGTGTAGCTCACTAACCAAACCTATGATGAAAAGAAAAAATTCTAAAAAAAAAATCTTCATTAGCAACATTCAAAGCAGCAATGAATGTGTCAACTTGTTTACAGCCTAAAAAACAAAATACTCCCAAAAATTCAATGGCATAATTTCTTGGAGACATGAAAACTACTCCTGTAGTCAAATTTAATCCTCCTAAAGTATTTGAATTTAATACTTTGTCAAAATGCATATTTGTAAATGGGATGTTTCCTCAGCAACCACCTCCAAATCACTCTCAATAAACGAAAGCTTAAGTTGTTTAGGTCATCCATATAGACTATCAAGATAACAAAGCCAAATAAAATGTGTCTGACACAAGTGAATTGAACGATTTTCCTTACAAAAAGTAATATATTTTGGTTGATAAAAGGTAATAATGTGATTGGGATATTTAGTTGGAAAATGAACGAAATGTAAATTAATAGAAACTTTGAGACATCAGGAGACCACATTTTCCAAACAAGGGTGAAGGAGAACCATCAATAATAACGAAATAAGATATAGAAAATAGATCAAGGAAGGAGAAAAACTTGTCAAAATTTGTCATATGTGCATAAGCGTCGTAATCTTAAATTCAAGCGAACAAAAAGCAATAGTTGTTGAACCAAAAGAGAAAATAGCATGGGAGGTAGATACAAATCTCTGAAAATACTAAACCAGACGATAATAATCCTCACCAAAAAAAAAATGAAACAAACAAAAAAAAGGTAGGTAGAGTGAAAGCAAAATCAACAATAACAAAAGGTCCAAAAGCATGTTTAGAAGGATAATTGAATTTAGCCTAGTAATGCTAGATATTGACCTCCATATTAATTTCACCATCAATCTGATCGAAAATGACTGAAAAGGTGGACCACGAATGCAATCACTATACATTGCAAGCTTAAGGCTGACATATTCTACAACAGTTTGTCAAGGATGGCAAAATTAAGTTTAAATAAAGCTTACAATGAATCAATTCTATATCATATGTATCCATATGATTGCATTAAAAAACTCATGCCAATAAAGAAATGCCAATAAAGAAATGACATGTATCTCCTACAATATGGTTGGTCTGATTTGAAACAACATAACTATATTATGTGTTACAATCTAAGCCCAGATATTCCTCAATAACCAAGATACGAGCCATTAGTTGAAAGGTACACCTAACAAGCAAAAACCCTAAGCAAGTCAAAGTCAATTAAAAATGTTATTTTGGGGGGCGCGGTGCGTTATTTAAAGGTGTTCGAAACATACTAAGTAGATCAAATTTCATGACAAGCCAATATAATTAGATAAAAACATATTGAATAGAAGGCCTATAGTAACGGATAATAATGTCAAACTTTCACAAAAAAAAAAAAAAAAAAAACTAAAAAAAAAGTTTAAAAATAAAAAAAAATATAAGATAAAAGAAAACCAGCAAAAGAAAAATAACTTAAGCTTAGGGATGGCAAAAATTAATCAAATGTCTTTACTAAAAATTTTTCAAATAAAAAAAAAAAAAATAGCACAAGCAGTAAAGATAAGCGCAAGTACATAAAGTTAGTAAAGAATAGGTAGAAGAAACAAGCATTGGCTTGTTGCGAGCTCGAAAACTACAAAAATACTATCTAACATGGACAAAAAATAAATCCTAAAAGAAACCCTAAATTTATAAAATTAAATTAAGAAAAGAATCTAGATTAGATGATTTAACCACAAGCTTATACGAGATATAATACAGTAAGATAGCATAATGATTAATTAACTGCCATACCAACAATCCAAATACTCTGCCAGCAAATATGGCCCAACCCCAGCGGGAAGCATATCAACAGAAAGCCCTTCAAACAAATCAGGAAAAGAGAAGACAACGGGTTCGCAAGAAACCTGAAAGCAAATAGGAATCCATAGATAAATAGATATTCAAAAAAGCCTACTGTGCCATTGAGCAATTAAGAAGAGATGCTTTTTTCAAAAGTAAAAAGTATTAGGCATAAAAAAACACCATAAAAATGTCTACTAGGCATGTCATGTGTGTGTGTGTGTGTGTGAGCAATTTGCAAGGGAGGTCTTATATGAAGCGATACGCCTAAGTATGACAGTAATAATATTGAAAGAAGAGACAGTGTCTTTGAGATTTAGAAATAAAATGTGTCCAAAAAAATATGATAGTCCTTTTCCTTATTTGTTGAAAAAACAATTTTGGGGTTCTAAGAGAAAAGTCTCATTAGAAAAGGTGTAATAAACAGAATCATAAAATGCATAACATATTGAACAAAAAATAAATGAATTTTAATTAGTTTTGAAGAAAATACGTAAAAATAAGATTTTAAATCCTTCAAGATACATATTGAAATTCACATAATTATTTGACATATTAGAGCACTTCAACTAAGAACAAACAAAACTTACTAAAAAAATTTTAACACAAAAGATAAAATCAGAAAAAGCATTTCAAAATTCTAGTTACCAGGAAAAAAATCGAATTTATGATTCAGATAATAAGGTTGTTGGAAGGTTAATGCAATATAGTCTTAGAAAAATTTTATGTGTCAGAAATCAAATTGATTTATTCTAGGAAGATTTACAATGAGCGCTACTTTCATTCTAGAGTAAACCTGAATCATAGCCAACCACTGAATGAATATTCGCACAGAATTTATTGATCTCGAAAAGAAAATATGATCATTGCATTATAAAACCTTTGCTAAGAGAAACAGTGCCAACAACCAACACATATGAGAATCTTCATTGGTGTATCATGAAAATTAACCTTTTAGACATGAAGGAAAAACTGTGTATTTGTGAAAAGCCCATTGATTCTCCTCCGATAATATGCTCAATGATTCTGCCTTCAATAGTATGTCCCATGACTTCACCAACTGGTCGAACACCCTAGATGGCCTGCCAACCAACTCTTGAAACTTCTCTTCCATCCTCATGGTACTCCTTATTCTTGCTTCCGACTCATCAATGTGTAGATTATTCTTACTATTATTATTATTATTATTATTATTTCTATTCTACGATTTTGTATACTTTTATTAAAATCTCTTCTAGGAATGCACAAATTTTGCATATTTGATGGAAAGAAAAATGCAATTAATTTTTCCAATTTTTATCGGTATCAAGTGTCTGTTGAAGTAGTCAATTTGTAAAAAAAGAAATAATAACTAACATTAGTAGTAGTAGTGGAAAGTCCAAGGAGTTTCAGATAAATGTATTGTATCAAAGATCATGGATAAGTTTGTATGCTTTTGTATAGATTAGAAGAAGCACAAGATATTCAAAATTGGATAAGCACATTTTATTAAACTGGTAAATGAAATTTTGAAAGTTGTGAGACTTGAAATTATTAACACAAAATTGTAATACAATATAAAAATTTAAGCAATGTGAAATTCATAATAATTATTAGGTGTGTGCGATTAATTTATATGAATGGATTGGTTCACGGATTTGTAAGAGTAAAATCCAATAAATAGAACCGAACAAACTTTTACTCTAATCCAAAACTAAATGAAAAGAGATTTGGTTTAATTGGTTCGGTGTTGAGCAAACCAAAATCTAGCATTAGAACTAAAATTATTGAAAATGAAAGTTTTATTTGGAAAGATTGTCTTCACCATCTATCTCTCCCACTAACGAACAGCAAGATTAACGAAACAGAAGAGGTATGGATTAAACCTAATTTTTCAAACATAATATTATTCTTTTTTTTTAAGTTTAATGAAAATCAAAACCAATCCAAAAAACAAAACTGGTTATTAAAATTTTCTAAACCAAAACGAAATAGTTATTTCAAAACTAAACCTAACCAACCAAATGTGATCGGTTCGATTAGATTTTCACAAATAAGGCATGCCTCTAATTATTATCCCTAATGTTAGAAGATCAAGTCATGAATATATGTGAAAAACTTGAGTGACATGGGTACAAAAAGTGAAAATATAAACTAGCACATAACTTTTTTAGTTTGAGCTAGGAGATTAAAAGCAATTGTTTCAAAAGCACTTGTAATAGAACAATATTAATGAAACTTAAGGTTAATCTTTTATAAAATTGTAATCAAATCAAGTATACCATATGAATTAGAAGGGATGTTTCATTTGCGGAAAAAGGAATACAATGTAATTGAAATGTACTGTATTTGAATTACTTTGAAGTTGTTTGGTTTGGTGTAAAGTAAATAGAGGAGTTCTTCTTCTTTTTTTTTTTTTGAAGAAAAAATGAAATTAATATAAAACATGCTCAATGATGGCAATAACAACGATTGCTGACGATCGGTAGTCGTCAAAGGTTGCAAGCGGTGGGACTAGCAGCAGTGGCGAATGGGGTGAAGGGCAGTAAAGTGCGGGCAGCCGCAATGGTCAGCGGTCGGTGGTTGTGGTGACGGCAATAAGCTGCAGTTCGCACTGTATTTGAAGATCGGTCAGATCAACCGAACTCGGATTACATTAATTTTGAATTGTACAGTGAATTCTAAATTCATAAAAATTTGACACTGCATTCCGTTTTCATATAACCAAACATCAAAATTTTAAAAACCCCTACACATAGTTTACTTTACAAGAGATATTGGGAACCAAACAGCCTTGGTGTCATGTAACAAAGAAGTAATTCATAAAAGTTAATTATGTTGAGCATGGCGAAAATGAGAATGATAGTATATGATTTAAGATGATTGTGTAGTAATACTAGAAACGGTAAAGTGTGAAATGACTACATGTGAGGAACAATGAGAGTGAAAGTTTTGAGAAATAAGATATTAGAAATCTGACTTTAGAAATTTAGACATTTACAATGAACGTTAAAAACTGTAACAATAAGATGGGCGAGTAGATATGAATAATGTAAAAGAATTTGTGAGGAGAAAAGTAGACAAAAGGAAAGATAATTAGAACCTGTGCAAAAAGACTCATGCAAAAGTAATGGGATTACCGGGATTCATATAGCTGGCAGCGTATGGCTGGGATAATGGTAAAAAAGATGAACAAACCAATATGTCATATTTATCAATGAAAAAAGGAAGGTTTTAACGGACATTTTCTAAGAATTTTTTTTATAAAAGGACTAATTCAACAAACTTAAAAAACTGCGGTGGCTATTACAATTTTATGTTATTTTTAAAAAATCAGACCACAGTTTTCAAGCAGTGACTGCACTTTTACCAGCTCGGCACAAAATTTTTTAAAAAACAACAAGAAAACAATTTCTCAAACAAAACTGTAGTGGCAGTCCAAAAAAAATTGGCAGAAAGTTATCCCAAACAGATATTTAATTTGACATAGTCACATGACGTGTTAAATGTTTACAAATAATAAATAGCTCTTAGACTGTACGTGAAATTTAAATAGTTAAATGCCAAGGTTTTGCATATCAAAATGAGAAGCACCGATTAATTACGCAAGTAAACAACAAGCTCAAGTGTTAGACTAGCTATTTTTACGCACAAAACTTCTGTCAGTTAAGCTTTAGTAAATTAATTTATAAAATGAAATATAGGAATAGATGAATATATTCTTTAAAAAATAAACTATCTGAAGCTGCAAGAAAAGTAACAAACCATTGAAATAAGAAAAAGATGCATTAATAATGATGTATGGAAGAGATACAATGAGTGTCACAAAAGCCAACCTCATTAAATTTATGTTGCCCGCTTGAGATAACTTGAACTAGGTATCCATCCTCATCACCATCTTCCTTCGATTGTGTACAGCCAACAACAATACTATCATGCCGAAGCCACTTGATTGAATCCACTAGAAATATGTGCAGTGAAAAAAAAAGGATTAGGAACGATAACGATATTTTTGTTTGAATAAATTAAAAACCGAAACAGATAAAAAAAGTGGCAGTGCCTTCCGAAAGCATTAATAGACACAAAGTAGTGGCATTTCTGGCATTATTCCTGCAATATTTAGTGTCATGTTTAAGTTGATGGTTCAACAAAAAAATCACATTAAATTATCTAAATTGAATCGAGGTAAATCTGTAGTTTATTCAACTACAAATAATCCTACATAAACATATTTAATCACTTAGCAGGTAAGAACATCTGCCCCTTTTTAATCATTCATGGGAAAAAATATCACTGATGATGATACACAATCTCCTTCAGAATAATAAACATGTGCTGTAAAATTAAAACAGTTGTCCATTCGTTATTAGATATATTGACAGCATAAAGGAACAAAATCATTTGTCCCATGCGAATCAATTGGATATGTTTTCATTGATATATAGCATGAAAAGTTTGTATATTATGCAATAGAGTTACATGCACACTTATATGCAATGAATGCGTGATTTTGTTTAAAAATAAAGAACACCAAAATAAGTTTTGTTCATTTAAAGCTTCATACAATTATTTAATTACTTCTTTACGCAAAGGCCTTAAAAGTTTCTATAAGAAAGAACAGTGATGCTAATCAATTGCATGCAAACATTTCCAGAAGCTTCATAGTTTATTCCCAAGGAAACATCATGAAAGGATAAACCATTATAAACCCAGATTAAGTGTTACACCAGCGCCTATGGCACCGTCCGCCTCGTACTCCACTGAGTCAACATCCAACCCGCCAAAATAGTTTGAAGACTTAGGTGTAAGACTAAAAAGAGCAATTTAGTCATTTGTTAGTTGCTATTTTGAGTTATAAATAGGGCTAATATATTTAGGATTAGGTCGTGTGTGATTGTTGTCTTGAATTCTAGGGTTAGGGCTTGGGAGAGATCGTCTATTTCTTGAATTGTAAATGTTTCTCTTTTATGTATGTGTGTTATGTTGATTGGTGTTAATGAAATAAAAATATTTTATTTTGACCTATTTTTGTGAAAGTTTGTATCAAATTAGTATCAAAGCAGGACGGAGATCAAAACATCAAGATGGGATCGCAGCGTGACTTCATGACTAAATCTCGCAATATAGTCGCGATTGAAGTTAGCTGGGAAGCCAATGTCGCGATCACGAAATACAGGCACGCACCTTCATGACTGAATCTCACGATACGGTCGTGATCGGAGCTAGCTAGGAAGCCAACGACGGTACTGCGACGTACGAGCACACAGCCAAACCTCGTGATCTGATCCTGATTCAACTTGAAGCCAACAGCGGGACTGTACGTCTTCGTGAATGAACCAATATATTCGTGATTCGACCTGACGAGGGTACAAAGTTATGCCTTCATGATCAAAAATCTTCTTAGGAGTAATGGTGGCTAAGTAAAGGCTTTGGAGGAGAAATTAGAGAAAGGGGTGAGTCAAATCATATATGAAATCGAGGAGCATCTCTCAGCCAAGGATGAGTGGTTCTTATCCATGGAAAGTAGATTCACATCCCTAAAAGAAATGATAAAGAACGTGGAGTTTCACACAAAACTGCCTTAGGATCAAGTGACGGTGTATGGAGCGACGGTGTTTAGAGCGGACGCAAGAGACAACAATAAGAAGAATTCATGCGACATCAAGGTAGCATCGCTGCTTTAGAGAGATCTGGAGCCACAGGATTGATCGAAATAATTGGGAGCAAACTCAAGCAGCAGCACTTAGAAGGAATACACGACATCGAACGGTAGGAATGAATGAAATAGATGGGATCGAGTGAAGTAGGGAGCGAATTTGAGCTGCAGCATCGAAAATGAATTGCATGACATCTAGAGGTTTGGATCATGCAGCAACAGGAGAAACAAGACGGAGTGTGATTTGAGAGTGAAGAAGATTGATTCGAAGAATTTTGACTAAGAACAGGGCATTATGGTGGGTGAGACCCCAACGGAGGGCTTCATCCAACTGTATCAGTTCCTTTTGTTGCAACAACTTTTCAGGTGAAAGGAAATTCATGAGTCTATGGGGACGGGCAAACTAATTATGGGCTGAACCAGTTGAAGAAGAGAAATCAATATGAGTCGACGAAAGGAACCCAACTCCCACTTCATGGGTGAAACAAACTTCGGTCGAGGAAATTGAAGAAGAGACTCACCATAAGGAAGTTGAAGATACATATCTTTGAAGAAGAGGATGTTAATAGTTGGGTTTATCACGTGAAGAGACACTTTGTTGTTAATGGAATGACGGAGAAAAAAATTGATGGTGGTGCCCCTATATTTAGAATGGAAGGTTCTAGCGTGGTAACAATGGAAAAAACAATGTCAACCAATCAAAACATGGGAAAAATTCAATGATCGCTTGTTGGGGTGCTTCAAAACCACGAGGGAAGGGAGTTTAGACAAGAAGTTTTTTTGCATTGGTCTAGGAAGGGTCTTTCATGGATTATAGAGAGAAATATAAGATGTTATCCGGTCGTTTGAGAGGAATGTTGAGGATTGGGGGAAACTATGGAATTATCTTTGTTCGTTGAAGAAAAAAATACAATGGAAGTTCTCTTGGAGCCACTTGATTTAAAAAGAGTGTGTCAGGAATCGACAGGCAGGAAAGAAGTATTGATTAAATGGAAATGATTGTCAGATTAAGATGCCATGAGGGAGCTATACGACTTAATCTAGCAGCAGTTTCCCCTCTTCCATCTTGAGAACAATGTGTCTTTTTAGAATAGAAGTAATATTAGATGAGTGCCAACAACACCATTCTCCTCATGCTCCACTGAGTTGAAGTAGAGCCCGCGAAAATAGTTTGAAGATTATGTTAGTCGTAAAACTAAAAAGCGCAATTTAGCAATTTGTTCATAATTACTGTAGAGTATAAATAGGACAAATATGTTTAGGTTTAGGTCATGCGTGATTGTTTTCATGAATCTTAGGGTTAGGAATTGGTAGAAATCACCTACCTCTCAAATTGTAGGTGTCTTATATTTTATGTATTTGTGTTGTGTTGTTTGGTGTTGGTAAAATAAAAATATTTTGTTTTGCCCATATTTCTGCAGAAGTTCATATCATTATGCCATCAATGTTCTTTTGAATATCAAAAGAAATATTTTTTACAAGGAGTTTACAAAGTTTTAAAAATTAACAACATGCACAAGTAACCAGATAAACTAAATTTCACGGGTAGCAATGGAAGTTATAAAACTCTAGCATGATGAAATATTGAAAATGAATATTTCATGCCAACTCAAGATTAAGAATATCAATTTTTATGACGAATAAAATTTTAATAATTCGATAAATCAAACCTCTTGTACATTTAATCATTCTTATTTCTCGAACTTTTAAAGTTATTTAAGCATTATCATTTATGATATTATCACCATAAAAATGATTTAACTTTCTTGCTTTCAGTGTTACATGCATGTCTTCAATAAATTCAAGGCAGGCACTCACAAACTAGTACCTTAAGCAAGGTGCTTGCCTTGTCCCACCTTGGTAATCATACCACCTAGGAAATGTGTGATGCACTATAACCACGCCTTACCTAGCCCAACTGCCTAAGCAAGTATTAAGATGGCTGTAAAATCAATAAATTTAAAAAACCTACTAAAGCACTAATTTTCATATGTGGCAATGTAAATGATTGTTTCAAAGGATATAAAAATTTTGAAAAATGTCATAAATGGCAGCCTACCACCATGCATTTTACATCTCATAAAGTTCATTTGTGAAATTAAATTGCTAAAACACGTAAGAATATAGCATATATCCTATTCAGTTGTTCAAAATAAGTTAGTGTAAAAACAAAAATAGTTAGCCTTCCACCATAAGCTTAAGTTTTTGGCTTGAATATAGGTTTAACCATTGATACATCTAACGCGACTCAAATCCTCCTTGATTCATACCTACCATGAGATATGACATTCGATGGTTCGATTACAAGCAAGTGGTTCATGTGATTTATGGACAACATAGATTTTGGCCACCCTCCACCATATTGAGCCAAGTTCAATAATGCATGGACCACAACTAATCCATGTGATTGAGCAGGCTCTCGAAGCATGATATTTTAAGAAGCGAGCACTGAAGGGGATAGTCGAAGCAAAGGGCCCACTTAAGTGAGGGAGAGAGTATTAAGCATCTGAGCATTGGATTTTGTCCCATAGCAGATAGTTGAAAATAGAGAATCGCTCAATTAAATCCTTGTACTTTTTTGAGAGGGGCGTTTTAATTCCAAACTATCAAATATAACCAACTTCATCTATTAACTCTTCAATATTGATCCAAACCAGTCCCAGCATTAGAGTTAAAATGTAAATGAAAAGAAAGTTAATGTAGAGGGTAGGATTAGAGGATATAATCATCTTTTGCATTTTTCTACAACTTCTGCTTTTCCTTATTGTATTCTCAAATTTCATTTCTTACTCAAGCTCAGTTATCAAACAAATAGCACAAGAGGAGAGGAAAGATGGAGATCATCGGCGAGCAGTGTACAAAAGACAAATATTGGAGAACATGATGACCACCATATGAAGTATAGAGATCACAGCAAGCAGTCCACTAAGTCCGGAATTGTTGAGCATTATCACTACAAAAATTACATCTCATTGAAGCATGCTAAGGTATATACGAAGGAGTCATGAAACAACAAAAATTTGTGATTAGAAAAGATAAACTTCCATGGCCCGTCTCCAGCTCCAACTGTAAAGGATGAATGTTTGTCGCCATTGCTCTCCACATCGTCATAGGCATGATGCAAAGCTTGCTCTCAAGTCAACGTCCAGTCTCAATACAAGCTCAATTGCCTGTCAACCCCATTGGTGGCAGCTGCTTTGATCTCAATCTAACTTGTGAGCAACCTCGTGATGATGAAAAGTTAGATTTAATAAAAGTTCTAAAAAACTAGAACATTATACTAAAAATGTTTGACAAATTAAACCTACAATTAATATCTCCAACATAAACTTTTCATCCATTTACATGGTAGTCCTAATGGTGGGACTAACTTGGATCAATTTCAAAGAGTCAATGGACTAAATTGGCACCATCAATAGCCAGACACTAAAATGGCACCCCATTGAAAATCAAGTGATCAATTGAGCTTTCGTGAAATATTGCACTTTGCATTAAGAAAACAAAAGGGTACAAAAAACTATGCAAGTATGCATTTATGCTATACAAGAGTGTGATCTATCCTCTACGAGAATGAAAGGACCATTAAGGGCAAGCCTGGCACAAAAATGAGTTGCCCTGTTACAATCCCTAGAAGTAAAAAAGAACAAAACTTCCTTAAAACTAACACGATCTGGAGCCTCTGCTGATTGCTTTTGCCAAACTTTGCCTTGCAAGGTAGAGCACACAAACCGCATGATATTAGCAATATCTCCTTCAAAGATGAGGCCCTTAGTCTCGAGCATCCACTGAAAACAAATGCTACTGAAGGCTTGGATGGCTAAGAGCTCTACTTGGGCACTGTCCCAACGAGTGAAATGTTGTCACATAGCAATAATGCCATTGCCGGCCAACGAAGCTTGCACTCACTGAAAATATCTTGTTGTAAAATACAAAATAGTTGACTTCCACTAATAGGCTTAAGCTATATGCTCAAACGCTATTTATCAGACCTAACTCTACTCTCACTTTATTCAAACTCTCTCATATGAACAAAAGTAAACTGAAGATTCACTAAAATTGAATAAAATTACTTTAACTAGCCATTGTACTTTGAAATAATCATCAATTATATAAAAAATAACATAAATGAAAAATAATGTAAGAAATTTTTTCTATAAAATCTACCTTTTATTTCTGATCCAGAATCAACAGCCCATGTCTGAAGCGAAAGTGAAATGCCAACTGTTTCCTCAAAATTGGACGATAATATGCTAACAATATCCTTCCTTGAAATTGCAAAAAAATTGCCATCCACGCTCCAGTCAACTACAAGTTTCAAATATTAAGAATATAAGAACAGCTTAAAATTATAGGGGCATTACATACATACCAAACAAATCTTATATATTTACACATCTAACACCGAAACTTGAATATTTACATGCATAGAACTCAAATCTTTAATATCACATCAAAAAATACCACTATCACCAACTTTTTAAAAGAGAAATACACCTCTTCATGCATAGTTCATCACATCAAAGTGCTAGAAATGTAAATATGAAAGTTTAGGAGTTAGATATGTAAATACATAAGAGTTGTGTGGTATGTATGTAAATTTCCCAAAATTATATTGTTATAAGGAGAAACAAATGGATCATGTCTCGTAAAAAAAATTGTAAATCCCTTGAACAAAAGAGAACATGAATTGTCAAATTGAAACAAAAAACCCAGCCATGTTTATTAAGCAAACAAACAAGGAAGCGAATGCTGAAAAAAATAAAAACACAAGAAAAGCAAATGAAATCCCAAATATTGCTTGCTTATTTTCCTTCTCAAGTATAGGCGGATACAAGAAAGGAGTACACATATAGCCACTTTAAAGTTCTTGCATGTTCCACAAACAGACACAGCAAGTGGCAGACATCACATCATTTATAAAAAAAAAAGGAATATTTACATACATACCACTCTATTCTTATGTATTTACATTTCTAACACCTAAACTTCGATTGTTACATACATGGCTCCTTCCCTATGCAGGACAAGGTGTATCTCAGTTTTTAAAAGTTAAAATGGTGATATTTTTTATGTGATAAAAAGTTTAGGAGTTAGATATGTAATATATAAGAATTGGGGATGGTATGTATGTAAATGCTCCTAAAAAAAATAGCTAAACAGGAAAGCATATCCCAAATTCGGTATGGTCATCATTTTTCAAAGTGTCAAGAAAAATAAGTACAAGGGATGTGCATAAAATAGCTTAGTAATTCTAAAGAGGGTTTTCCATACCAACCACCCAAAATATTAATATAACATTATCACCATCCTAAACCCACTCATGAAGATTTTCAATGAAGTTTTTGGGTAGTTAAAATGTTATATTTAAATTTAGTGTTTTGCATGGTTGGAATGTAAAAACCCTAATTCTAAAATGCAAACTCTAAAGATAATTTTGTAAAAACACGCAATAATAATTGCTCATACAAAAAAATATATATATTATGACCTGGTTACAATTCATCCAATGTGCAAGAGAAAAAACATAAAATTCTTTCAACAGTAGCTTTAATTAAGATGGAAAGAGGATTGAATCACGCTAAATTCAATAAAGCAATCATTAGTTCATGATACATGACATTCTGTAATTGGAATTGCTACAAACCAGCATCAACATTGTCCATCACATCTTTGAGCCGAAAATCAGAAGATCCATGACATAGTAAGCCATTATTTGACAGAGCAACGAAAGAGTTTTCAGAACTTCTTCGCCATTTTAAATCTCGAACAACACCAGAATCGCTGAGAGAGCATGAAATTGCTGGCTCTTGCACCTCCAAAATGAAACTTATTGAAATGAGAAATGAATGGTTACCACAGTGATAATTATCAGACAAAACAGATAAACAGACAGTTAGCTACTTCACCAAAAGTATGAAAAGAGAAAAGTTCCGTACCTTGGCAAGGAGAGATTGCACGTAGAACAAGTGAATTTCTCCACCAACAGCGGCTGCAAGCATCGAATTATCCCACGAAAGCGCCAGGATCGAAACACTGCCAATCTGCACATCCACGATGCTTGATTTTTGCACACACACGTCCTTCCCGTTAGCGCTCTTAGCTAATCCAATCACATCCTTTGTATTCGCAACCAAAAACCCTAATGAAACCAGAAACGATGAATAATACAAATGAGCCGAGCGTGGCTGAATAGGGAGATGGGAACTGGTCGCCAAACCTTCGGTGTGCGCTAGAAATATAAGATGGTGGCGTTCGGAGACAGCGAGAGGCTGAAGCGGGGGGTTGGAAAGATCGAAAGCGGAGTCGGAGAGTGTGGGTTTTAAGGGAACGGGTTCGCCGATCCTGCAGAAAACGAAGTCCACCGTCCCCTGGCGGTCTCCTTCGATCTCCTCCGCCAGCGAGAGGAGACGGGAGGACTTCGCGGCCATGGTTGGCATTGATTACAGAGCCTGAGAATCGAAACGGAGAGAGAGAGGCGCGAGTTTTGCGACCATGGCTGAGGAGGAAGAGAACAGAGGACTGTCGCTACAAGCCTACAAACTATAGAACTTTGTAAATGGTCTTGAAACACAAATTTCATATTTACAAGCATGACACTAAAAATTTCAACATTATATTATAATTTTCATTATTATTTTTTATTTTTTATTAATGAAGTATATCTTTCTATACAAATTTATGACATTTAAATATTATAAATATAAATATAAAATTTTAGAGGTTACATAAGTAAAGTTGTAAATAGATGTACATTGTGGGGATATATTTTTTTCTTGAAATTATTGCCTTGGGGGATGCCTAAAAGCTCAAAGACTAATTTTAGAGGGGAACTTCGATTCGCCCGGCCAGCAGGCGGGCTGGCCGAGCGGAATATGGGACGGAGGACTCATAAGTAATATTCTTTCAATTCTAACATGATAGAAATTAATGCGAATGTTGTAAGTAATTAGTGACAATATTTATAGTATTGAATCATGTTTTGTCAGTGAATCGCAGCCAAGGAATAGAATTAGTAAAGAAGAGCTGAGAATATGAGCTATAGAGAAGAGAGGAGGGGGAAGACATTAGTGAGGTGTTGTATTAATTCCTGAGATGGTTGTTAATGGGAAAAAAATCATTGCTTCTTACATTAACTTTCTCTCTTTTATAGAGATGTTTAGTGTATAAAATATGTGTAAGTTATGACTACAAATATATCATTTGGGATGTCTAACTGCCTAAACTTATATTTTACTACCTTGGGCACATATATTATATTATTTCTAGTGTCTTTTCTTTTGTTTATGCTATCTCTGGTTGCCCTTAGCCTTTTGCTACATGCTCCCCGTGCCAAATTCATTGTATAGTTGGCATGTTTGGCCATGGATGAGTTATCTAGAAGAGCTTCGTTAGGACGGTTGTTATGACATAACACCCTTTAGAGAGTTATTTTTCTAGTTGAATGCAGTCGGTAGAATGGTAACAAGGCGGATGTAGCTGGTCGAATGCAGATGGACAAATAGAGTTGGACGAATGCAAATGGTCGAATATAGTTGGATGAATGCAGCTTGACAAATGCAGTTGAAAGAATACTACTTCTTGATTCAAATAATTTTGGTCATATTTTTTTTATTTATACGACTTTTTTATTGCTTCGAAATGCAACTATAAAAAGAACAAGATAATGATAAACATGAAATTATTCATTGCTCGTTTCTTTAAGAAAAGTATATGCTCCTCTTGTTTGAATAATAAATTCATTAGATGTGTTATTTTATTTGAATCAAAACTATATAAATAAATGTGAGTGGTGTATTTCACCATGTGTTAGTTACTCATCTGTTTAAGGGCTCTTAGTTCTCTTATAGGGAATCATCCTCGGAGCACCTTAACTACATCTATTTTTCTCCCATTCAGGAATTAGTCATACAGATTTTTTAACTTATCTTTTTTATGTTTGACTCGATGGACTTATAAAGCAAGTTCCTTGGGTGTTAGAAGTAAACTTAATTTGTCAATAAGGATTTTCATCTTTTTCGTGTAACTAGATTGAATGTTTTCTTGTAATATATTTATGTTTTAAGGAAATTCAAGAAATTTTGTTAAATTCAAACTACATATTGGATCGTAGCTCTCATACATTGAGTAGCCTTGTAATTTTTCAACTTTACCCAGTTTGAGTCTTTATGGTCTTCAATCTTCAATCTTCTTTGGCTTGAGTTGTATGTTAGCATGAGTTTCTTTAGCCTTTCTGTGTAACTAGATTGAAAGTTTTCTTGTAATATGACTAGGTTCTAAGGGAATTCAAGCAATTTTGCTAAATTCAAACCATACTTCATTTGAGCTTCATAGCTCTCCTACAAGGAGTAGTATCGTAATTCTTCAACTTTACCTAGGTTGAGTTTTCATGGTCTTCAATCCCTATTATAGCTAACTTCATTCTTTTTTTTACTGAGTTATATTTTAGCATGAGCTTCTTTAGTCCTCCTTAGCATTCAGCTATTGATTCGAGTAGACTCTAGGAGTTTAGTAGATTTTCCTTTATTATGAGGAAACTTGCTTATGTTGGGCAAGTTTCCTGAGTGCTATTGTTAAACTCATTCTACATAACAAGTAGTATATGTATTACTCGTTATATACATATTGAATGAATTAATTAAAAAACATAAACATAATAAAATAAAAATAAAATTAATAATAATAAGGCTTCGTAGAGATTTTTTCTCTTTGTTAGCCTAGTTGTTAGAAGTTTCTCTATTGCAACTCCACTCTTTATGTAAATCTTCTTTTTTTGTACAAACTATTTTTTTGAAGATGTTTTAAGAGAAATCTCTTGAGAAAGTTGTTCTATGATACCCTCTTGGGAGAGGGAGAGCTAGGATGGGAGAGTTCTCTTTTGAGAGTTACTATAGGATAATCATCAAGAGAAAGTTGTTTTTTTCTGGATGAATGGCGAGTATACGATTAGACGAATGGATGAATGGATGTGCCAAATTACTCTCTTAGATAAGTTATATTGTGTAGCCCATGTTATTAGTTAATTCTATATGGCTCGACTTTACTCATTGTTTGTCTCATCTTCTTATTTGTGACATAATTTATGTTCACTGTACTTTTCAGGATGTTGAATCTCTTTTTATACTTGAATTACACCCAAGAAATATAGTTGTTGAATCAAAAAATGTCCTTTAAATCACACCCAAGGGATAAATCATTGGTCAAATAATAAGAATGAGATAGAATAGAGAGGGGGGTGAGAGAAAACAACAAATAGTACTACTTCTCTTCGAATACATTCAATGTCTTTCCTGAATGAATGACTCCCCTATTTATAGATCATAGGGGGTGTCTAATAAATTATACACGTATTTCTAATTAAATAGAGACATTATTAATCATTTATGAGTTATTACATCTTTACATATTCGTAATTGTCTTTTGGATCTTTTGTCGTTGGTAATCAAGTTGGTGTTTATTCGTATTGCTAACCGTTGTTGGTACTTCTTCATATTTGTATCTACCCGGCTTGGTTAGTTGGTCATCATTCGGTCGACTGAGATTCATTTGGTTCGTCGATCTTCCTAGATGAACCCTAAATAGAGACCTTATCTTTTGTGAAGGTTTATCATGTCAGACAGCTATAATCAGACAGGCATCCTCCGTTAAGGGCAATGGTCGGTTCTATCGTACATCAATTATTGGTTCAGATTCAAATTTCCTTTCGTTCGGTTGACCCGTTGGCTAACCAAATGAAGTGACACTTAATGGTTCAGTCTTTTGGTTGATAACACGATCTTTTGTATCTTTCTTGTGTGGATCATCAGATTTCCTCGAGATTTGTGTAAATTATGGAGAAGAGAGAGAGAAAGTAGGGAATTGTAGTATCTATCTATCGATCCATCGATCCCATCCATCCATCGATCAATCCATCCATCCATTCATCGATCCATCCATCCATTCATCGATCCATCCATCCATTGATCCATCCATCCATCCATCGATCCCATCGATCGATCAATCGATCCATCCATTCATCGATCCATCCATCCATCGATCCATCCATCCATCCTTCGATCTATCCATCAATCGATCGATCCATCTATCCTTCTATCGATAGATCCATCGATCCATCTATCTATCCATCTATCCATCGATCTGTCGATCCATCTATCTATCTATCATCTATCTATCGATCGATCTATCTATCATCTATCTATCTATCAGTCGATCTATCATCTATCTATCTATCTATCAGTCGATCTATCTATCTATATATCCATTTATCGATCGATCTATCCATCGATCTATCCATCGATCTATCTATCCATCTATCTATCTATCTATCTATCTATTTATCAAAAAATGATATTTACACGTTTAATATCATGTATTACATATCTATGCATTCTTTATTTTTAAAAAGTAAGTGATGGTGATATTTTTTATGTGATGTCAATTTTTTTTTGGTTTAATGTACGTAAATATGAAAGTTTAGATGTTAGATATCTAAATATACAAGGATTGTGTTGTATATATGTAAAAACTCCTAGATTTTATTATTCATTATTTTGAAATTCATGGCAGATGAATAAAAATATGTGGATCCAAGAGTTAATACTAAATAATGCTCGCATGTTCATAGCATTGAGGCAACATTTTTATTTTAAAAAATAACAGGACATGGTAGTTGTGTTAGGATGATTCCTTGAATTCTCACACAAACAATGAACGGTCAGCATAACCATGCCGAAATGAGCGTGACTACGGTGCCGAGTGAAGATCGCACAGTTTGATTCCGTGCGGGTGAAATAATTATGTCGATAAGTGATGCGACCACGCCGCCATGACGAGAAACTCTCTAGCGTGTGGTACTTTAGAAGAGGGTTCTCGTTAAAGAGAGAATAGTCAAGAAGGAGGATTTTTACATGCAATTTTCAATCGTCTAATTGAGATGAAGGATTTGAAAAAAAGTTCTGTAAGTTTCATTCATTGTAGAGAGGATATCTAAATAAGTTATCAGTACATTTACGGTTCTTCATAGTGAAAATTTTTTGATGATGTCGCTCCAAGATTTTTTCCGTTATAAGGTTTTTCCACGTAAAATCCTAATTACCACTACAAAAACAAAATAATAAGAAAATTGTTCTAAAGAAAACCTTCAGCAAAGCGGACCTCTACACTAAATCAACCCATAATCATCATAAATATATTTTTACTTAAAAGAAATGATGTTTTAATAACCAACCAAATTGTCAACAAAAACTTATTTTTCTCCAACATATCAAAACAACAAAAAGCTGATACAACATACATCATACAAACTTTCACATCATTTCTCATCACTCAACATCTAATTAGAGCCATACCTGGCAGTCATTAAAGCAGCAATGTCATCTTTATTAGTCTGAAAAACAAGAAAAAGCTCATCTCTAGGAGGCAAGCAATCCTTCAACACATCAGAATTAGTAATTTCTTTCATCCATCTGCATAAAATGGGATGCTTTTCTTCGCTGATAACGTCAACTTTAAACACATCCTGAGCTATCTGAGCCCAATAAACAGAGCAGAGGACAACAATGTCCACAAGTCCTATTTCTTCTCCTCCAAAGAATTTTTTATCTTTCAAAGCTCCTTCCATGGTGGTTAGATGCAACTTGGACTCCTCTAAAAGGTGTTTTTGCATGTCTCCCTTAGTCCAACATGACATCCATAGAGGTTGAATGCACTAGGAAGGGAAGGTAGAATATTAATGAAGTAAAAGATGAACATAACGTGATTATTACTCAATGTTTGTATGTTTGAATCAAATTAATAGAGGAAGGGGGGTGTGAGAACATGATGTAGCCATTAGGTAAATGTGCAAAAAAAATTTGTCTGTTTTGGTGTAGTGATTGGGCATTTATATACATATCACACAATTTCCATGTATTTAGGGTCCGTTTGAGTCAGCTTATAAGTGCGGGCGGCATTTTCAAAATGCTGAAAAACGTCGTCGTACCGTTGGGTTCGCGGTTCACGCGTTTCGACAGCTTATCCGAAACTGCATTTGGGCTTTTATATTAAACGCAGGCCGCGAGTCGACCCCCGCGGGCCGCATTTCAGGATAAGCAGTTTATCCTGAAACACACAATTTGCCCCAATCGGACCCTTAGACATCTAACATCAAAATTTTATTTTTTACATGTATATTACTCAATTTTTTTTAAATTACATAAAAAGTACCATCATTTTAACTTATATCAAGTGAAATACACCTTTTCATGAATAGGTAAAGCGTTATCTACGTAAAAATTGAAGTTTAGGTGTTAGATATGTAAATAAATAGGAATCGAGTGGTAAAACTAAAGTCCACAAATTTAGCTAAATATTTTACATTTGCATTATAACCATACATCAAATAATGCACATAAATTTTAAAATGCATAGAAATAAAATTTTGAGTAAATAAATAAAGAATTAATCATAAAATTAATAAATAAATAAATATTAAATTAGCATTTTTATCAAAATGCATGTTGATTAATAAATTGAAATATATATATATATATATATATATATATAT